CAGGAAGTTTCTTAAATTCTCTGAGGCTCATTTATTTCATGCATAAAATGGATATGATAATTTTTACATCACCGAGTTGTTGTGAGGAGCATATGAAATAACATTTGGGTAAAGAATCTGACATGTGGTAAGCAACTAGTCAGTTAAATCATGATGGTGATGAGGACGAGGAGGGGGAGGAGAGCTGAGCGCTCATGCCATAAGTCCAGTGCTTCACTCTTCCACAAAATTCTACCCTGGCTTTATACAAGCCCCTCCCTATGGTTCACACACCTGCATTTGGAAGTCATAGCACATTAGTGCATAGTTACACACAGGTCCATGCATGGTTTCCTCATAAAGCTAAATTCTAATTTTGGCCCTCTGATGTTCCAATTACTATACCTACATGATGCAAACCATGCCTCATTCATGCACCATCCATTGAACCTAGGTGATTCATCATCATCATGCCCCAGCTAGTTCTGTCCAGGCTAACACTCAGACACCAGTGAGGAAAGAGAAAACCCAAGTCACTGGGTCTCTTAGTGAACAAGGCCTGTGGAGTCAACTTCTTTAACACCTCTCAGATGTAGCCTCACCATTGCAATTACCCAATCTCAGTCTCTCCCTCATCTCCTTTCTAAACCACACCTCCAGTCTCCTGTCTAGTCTCCATGCCACTGGCTCCCTTCCCTCTTTCCACTCCTACCTGAAGCCAGAAGGGTCTTTAAAAAAGGCTCCTCTGCCTTTGTGACACCTCTGCTTTCAATCCAGTGCCTTCCAATGGCCATTGTGTGACCACCTCTCCAAACACACCCTCTGTCTCTCTGCTCACCCCAGTTGTTCACCATCCTTCAAACATGGTACACTTTGCAATATGCTGGTCTCTGCCCATAATGCCCTTCCTCTTCTGCCCCGCTCATGGAACTCACACATCCTGTGGCTGTGAAGGCTTTCCTGATGATGACCTGCCTTCCAATGGCAGATTCTTCTGCACCCATCCTTTTGCACGGAAGTTATTATAATAACTATTTATTGAGAGCTTTTGTTTTTAAAACACCCAATGCCTTTATATACATCATATAATGTAATCTTCCTGACAGTCTTTTGACATACTGTATTTATACCTTCATGGATAAAAAAGTGAGCTTACAGAGGTTAAGTTAATGTCAGTGAACCTGTGCTTCTTAGGCAGCAAGACCTGTTGAGTTTTACTTCCAAGTTTCTCTTAGGGTCCAGCCCCTCCTCACATATAATTACACAGCCAATATTTAAACCCAGATTGGCTTGACTCCAAAGTATCTGCTTTTATCACACTATACTTAGCTAAATTCTAGAGTTCCTTAAGGTCAGGAGCTAGGTCCTACTCATCTCAGCACCCCAAACCTGGAAGTCAGTACTCAGTGTTGGCTGGAAGTTAGACTTAGCTCTTGGCTTGAGATGGGGAAGAGAGGCATTGTGCCCACTTGCACCAAGAGGTAGTAAGCATAGTGCTCACCAGTTGGAATTACTTTGTCTGCCCAAGCTTAGATCTCAGAATCTCAGCATCTCACTTACTAGCTATAGGATATGGGGTATGTTAGTCAGTATGCTTAAACCTCAGTTTCTTTCACTGTAAAATAATAATCACAATAATCAAACATGCACATGGCAGTTTTGCACATGGTAACATGAGCTAAGTGTGTAAAGTCATTGATACAATGAGGATTCCCTAAAGTGGTAGTTATCAGCTTTTGTCTATGGAGTGCAAACCTGCCTAGAAAAGATACTTCTTGACCATACAGAAGGAGTGGGTCACTTAGGGGCAATTTCCTGTGCACCCCTAACACACACCTCAGTGTACTCATGACTTCTTTATCTGACAGTGGAGACCACATGAGAAGCCCCACCTTGGCAGCATACTGGGACATGAGTTCTCCTGGCATTTTCTGTGGCAGCACATGAATCAATGTGGCCATGCAGAGGCCAGGGTGCCAAACCTAGGAGTCTCATTTGCATTTCAATAATTTTTCTTTTTCTTTTTCCAGTGAAATATCTTAACAAATATTGGTCTAACCTCCTTTTCTGCCATGGCAGGGTACACACACTACACACACACACACACACACACACACACACACACCTGTCTCACCAAGCTTCTGGCTTCCTGCTCTTGAGAGCCTTTTGATGGCTGGGAAGGGCAACACATTCCACAGTGCTAGAGAAAGAGTCAAAATCGGAGGTATGTGGATGGGAGAACAAGTTGGGGATATGATGGTGGATATTCCTGGGGACCAAAGCAGTCTAGGGCTCTTGCTACTGTTATTAGGCTCCACCGTCACAACCACTTCTTATTGAGTTAAATTTTTCATACTATTTACAATTCATATACCTCACAGAGCTGCTAGTCATTCATTCCTTCTCTTAATCAGAATTTGTTAGGCCTTCCCCAGCCAAATTTTCCTGGTTGTCTGCCCAAGATTTACAGTATTATGCGTATCATCTCTGTACGAGAAACAAACAAACAAACAAAAAAAAAACCCTACTGTATATCGTGTTGGATGCACCTTAGCTCCTGTCTCATTCAAGCTGCACAACAACCCCAGGAGGTGGGACTGTCATTGACCCCATTTTGTTGATGAGGAAACTGAGGTCCAGATGTCAAGTTACTCACCTAAGGACAGTAGTTGGTAAAGAGCTGTGGAGTCAGATTCAAACTTAATTGGGCTCCAGTGACTCCCCTAGCACATCCCATTTTAATTCTCTGCAACTGTAGAACTAAATTTTCCCTCAGGCTGGGTCAAGACAATAGAAAGCTATAAGAATCTGGTGGCCTGGCAAAGGCCTGGGATCCAGGGTTAGTGAAAGGGCATACGTGAGAATCGTTTAGAACAGGGCTTGGCACATGGCACATACTCAATGAACAGTAACTGTTACTTTTTTTTTGGGGGGGGGGGGTTAAAATATTGTTTCCTCTCTGAATGTACTATCCCTGGGAGGAGAAGAGTTATCAACATTATAGATGAAATTTGTTCATCTAAATTTCACCTGTATACTTTAACGAAAACCCAACAATAGCAAAACTTCTTGAAAGCATGCCTTTGAGTTTAGATTGGTGGAGATTGAGAAGATTTCCAGGCACCTTAAGTTACCTGGAAGAATCTCCTGCTTTTTTCTCTTTGTATTACCCATTTTCCCCATGTGGACTGGAGTCCTGGTGGGGGGTGGGGGGAGAAACCTCAACATGTAGGTCTTCAGGAAGGAAAATGTTGATACCGGCACTCATCAAAATTGAAAAGTAGTCATTTGTTTTTAAAGTAGGCATATTTTTAAGTGCTTATGTTTTACCGATATTCAATATCTATTCCTCTTCTGAATCCCTCATGGTGCTCTACTCTCTTCTCTTTAACAAAGGTCATCTTTGCATTGTGATATATCTGACCTACATCCCATTTCCTCTGGCTAGCTGGCTTACCTGAATTAATATCAGGGTGTTAAAAATTTATATTGCCTCTTTGTACTCATTACCTTCCCAGGGAACACACTGGAGGCAGTACAATTGCCATGTAAAGAGATTTCAATTATACCTCAATAAAGTTGTTTTAAAATTAGATAAATAAAAGGAGATTCTGATATTGAAATGTCTCCCTCATGATCACAGGATCCAAGCTGCCATCACCTCTTGCCTGGAAAACAACGACTACCCACTTTCTGGGGTCTTCTCCAATCCATCCTTCACCTTGTAGCTGGAATAATTTTTTTTTAAGAGAAAGCTGACTTGTTAAAGTCCTTTGTTAAAGTCCTGAAGTGGCTCTTGGTTACTTCAAGATAATGTCAAACGTCTTGTCCAACACTTGCAATGCCCTGTCGAGCTCCCAGTCTCCCCTTGGCTACTTCCTACTTTGATCCCTACTCTCAATGAAA